ACATCTGACTACCTCTTAATTTAGAAAATAAAATCAAGTATCAACCTTATTTAAGCTGCACCCAACTCTGCATGCTCCACGCACAGACAGTGAAGAAAGCTTCGCCTTTGTTTGGTCTGTCTGTTTGTTTGCTGCCCCCAAGCAGATGGCATCATCCACAGGAAGTGAATCAGCTTGGCTCTCACAGCACAGAGGCTCCCACTAAATTAAAAGGATCATCTCCAAAGCTCCCTACTTACATGCCAAACCCCCTGGATGTCTGGAGTTATGATATATATGCTATACACACTCGCATGCATTTATTTAATATATTTTGATGGCCACAATAAGGTGAAGAAAACACATTTTACTCTTTAATCACATTTAATCTGATTAAGTACTTGCCAATTCAACTATATTTAAGTCCTAGTAAGGAACACACCACTTCCTGCTTTTAGAATTCTGTTCCCTGTAGGCAATTTGTCATGATTTTAAAGGCACAGACTTTTTTAAAAAATTGGTAGGGATTTTCAAACTGTACAGATTCCTAAGTGCATATAAACAGAAATTTTACCATTTGATGTCTATATATGTGGGCTGTAACTGTATCTAACAACTGAGAGAAATGAGAAAGTACCAGCAATGAAATTCCCATTTAAAAAATGTCATTCTAATAAGCTGCTACGATTTGGCTCATCTTGATGTTGTGAGACAATACAGAAATCATAAGAAAAAAATGACAGCAGCTTGTGCTCTGAACTTAGCATTCTGCTCATTTCCAGATGACAAATTTGCCTCAAATAATTGCACAACACTCTCTTATAAAAACAAAGCCCATCGATCTCAGAAAAAAAGGGCACAAAGCTGTAACTGGGACAGTAACCTAAGGTACAAAAGCTAAAATGTACATCACTGTACCTTTTTACTCCTAAATGGTACATATTAGTACCTTAAAGGTACATATTAGCACTTTATTCGTACATATTAGTACCTTTTGAAAAAAGTACCACCATAGTTTTGCACCTTTTTCCTGAGAGTGCAGTGTTTGTTAGAAGGAGTATAGACCTAGGAATCCATATTTCAATACAAAGCTACCCAGTGTATTTTAACTTCCAACATATACTGTACTGTATGTGTCCTCATGAAACACAGAGCTCAAAAGATGTTAATCAAGTTAAATGTCACCTGATGATCTCATAAATGTCCCCCGCACAGTCTATTTTGTTAGCATTTCATTCTGCGCTCAGAGGCAGCCATTGAGGTAAATATTGCATAATGCAGAATGCCTGTCCCTCAGCTCAATAATAAGATGCTATGCTACATTACCTCTCAAACCTCCTTTCTGTAGGTGTCAGTTCTCTTGGGGAACAGGCACATTTACTCTCCATTTATTTCAGTATGAGAGGGGCCATAGGAAACTGCCCTGAGAGGAGTGCTCATAAAATCCATACGCATTCCTATGCATCTTAGATGGAAACCGACAACCAAGCTATTTTTGCAAGACCACCCCTTAATTCTACACAACCCCAGTCCAATGTTGCTATATTGTGAGGTATGCTCTTTTGTTTTGGGGTTAACTGTTTTTAAGCCAAGGACCCTCAGTGGACAGAAAGACGGAGCAGATGGTGTTGTATTGTACAAAACGAAATATTGCAGTTTAAATCAAACCATAAAATAACATGCATATTGTACAAGATTATATATGTACATATTTTTTTATGATGCTTATAATAACTATAACCATTACTGATGTACCTGTATGTGTATATTATGTAATTTTACTGAATATGTATACATTAATGTAGCATTTAGCTGAATTTTAACTTCTTTAAATATAAATGTTAATATGTCTACTGCATACTTAACTTTTTATATAAAAAAAGAGATATGACAGAAAACAGAAATTAGAAGGTAAAAATATGACGAAAACGATGTACAGAGCTCCACATATGGCATGCAGGAAAAAACAGACAGACAGACAGTCAGACAGACAGATAGACAGACAGATAGATAGATGAAGAGCTTCTTGTAAAAGTTTAATCCAGGTACGACAGTATATCTTAGTTGATCAAAGAAGGGTTTAAGGGCCAGTAATGTACAATTAACTTGACAGATGTCTAAAGAAAACAGCTGTCATCTCTTCAAAAACAAGAACATCATGTGCTTGCCTTGTGGCTCACCGCTTGCATCGCCTGAGTGTTGTGAGTTAATGTTTTGCCCAGAACAAAAATGAGAACAAAACAAAAATCAATTTCTCTCACCCTCTCTGTTCAATTCAAACTTCAAGGGAGGGAAAAGAAAAAAAAAAGAAAGAAAAAGAGTCAAGCAATTTGTCACTGAAGCATGTCTTTGTATTTCCTGATAAAGAACACTGTGCTCAAGACAAAAGGCAGGAGCATATGGAACAGAATGAAGAGCACTGAAATGAACCATATCGTTTCATTAAAACCCTAAGAAGTCGTTCCTCACTGAGCTTTTAGTCTCCCTGCAATTCTCTTCAGCGATACAGGGATTGTTTTGGCTGTATGGTCATTCTACTCATAACTCATGTCAAAACATTCACTGCACATGAGGGGTCATACTCCACTGACCAATATAAGAAATAGCACGATGTGCTTGGAAAGCTCCAAGACTGTCATCACAATACGTTTTTCTTCATTACAGGAAAGTGGGCTGTCTCCCAGCTCCCCTGATAACCCAAGATGTCGGGCTGGTTCCATAGGGAAGCTGGATGGGCAGCCTATCCAGGTCCCCGCTGGCCATGTGGCACTGAAAATGTGCAGCTGCCCTTCCCTGGAGGCCCTGGGAATGCGGTGATTACATTTCTCTGTGGTGGCAGAACTTGGCCACACCAATGCTAGGAATATGCACGGTCCAGAAACTGGAACAGCAAAAACAATAACTATAAGATGAAAACCAAGGACTTAATATCAGGTAACAGCTAGGCTCAGAAATTAAAATCACTCCAGGTGAATCTTATTATAAAACTAAGAGGATTAAGAGTTGAACATCATAATATGAAGCAACTGGAGACATGTATACGAGCCGAGAGGCGAGAGCTTCTACAGTATCGCTTTATTATTAGACTCAGTTACATGAGAACAAGTAAACAGTCGTTTAAGGTGTTCTCAAGCAAGTCTTACTTGAGGAATATCAGTAGCGACATAGTATAATATAAACACTGTGAGTGATACATTAGTTAGGGACGTAGGCTACTTGCCAATTACAAGTTTTCATCAACTTTGAAGCAATAAGATGCTTCAAAATTTCAATTACTTTGAAGATTGGTCTGAGTATTAACCAGTGAATAAGAATGCCAGCTCAGTGTCTCAGAACGATGACTTTAAATAAATTTAGTCCTTTCTATAAAGAGTCAAAATTAATGAAGTGTCTTAGCCTAAAAAAGGTGAAGATAAATTAAAGAAGTTACAGCACAGAGTGGGGTAAGCTGTGCCACTTTTTTACTTAAGTTAACCTCTAGTCAAGGAGAAAGAAGATACAGGTGAAATTAATGCATCTAATTAAATTTCAATGTCTGCTATCAACTGAAATTAGAGGAAAGTGTCCAGAACGCAGGACCATAGAAAAATGACCTAATAATAATTAAAAAAGGGGGACTGAGGGGGTTAAATTGAATCAAATAAGACCATAATGAGATATAAAATAAAATAAAATAAAAATCCCATTTTACTATCCCACTTTAGAGTCTTAACTAATTATAATATATTCATAAAGGTTTAATATTATTCACAGGGGAAAAAAAGACTCTTGCTAAAAAAGCATACAAAAGATCCATTATTAGACTGAAGAAACTTATATTTTCTTATTTCACATTCCAACAACCAAAGCCGCGGGGAAATATGAAATACGTCCTACTGTAGAAGTTGTCCAGACTTTGTGTGGCTGAGGTAGCTTCTTCAGTGTGGGAACCAAACTCTTGATTGTTTTCCTTGAAAGGTGGATTTTTTCTTTGCCAGCACTCCCTCAGATTTGTGGAAAAAAACTTGGCCACCACTTTAACAAAAGCAACGTATTTCCAAAGTATTTCCTGCATTTAAATGCAAAGCTTATTATCAACATCAGTTGAGTTACTGGCACTGTTTACCCTGAAGCAGATGGCACACTTTACCCCACAGCTATCATTTTTGGAAAATGTTTTGTTTAATAATTTAATAGATAATCTTTAGCCAAACAATTTATATGGTTTTAAGATTGGCAAAAATATATTTTAGACCTGGATCGTTTTTATTTTACTTGCTATGTAGAAAATTGTGTGAAAATGTGCATCTTTCAGTCCTTGGCAGCTCTATATGATTAGGACTGTCTAACTACATAGATAAATACATTACATGATCAAAAAAACTCCACTATCGTAAGCAACACGGTAACCTCAGGGTGCCCAATACGCACAAACACATGAATAAAATTACCCATGCCAGTGGAGTGCTGTTAGTACACTCATGCGATAGCAGTCTGTGTTGGCTTACAAACACATTAAATTGCACTGCACATTTTGTTGTGAAAAGCTGATTGAAATGCATTTCCTATCGACACTTAATCTATGGTAATGAGCTCCTCAAAATTCCCATGATAAATACGCCTGGAATCCATTCTAAGACATTATAAATAAAACAGAGCGAACATGATTAATCTAAATGATAATAGAATACCAGTGATGAGAATAGCTGACCCATTGTGCCTGGAATCTGTAATAAATTAAGCTCTTCTAGAAATGTCCTGCATCTACATGAAGCAATTGGGCACAAGGTTTTAACATAAACTGATCGATATTTTCATGAATACAATTAAATATTAAAATCAGGACACTTTCATCTCTTTAAAATTCGTAGCTATCATTCCCAACACTTTGCATGTGAAGTGCAACCTGGAATTAAATTAAGTGAGGAACAATAATGTGCAGGTTGATGCTGATTATTTGGTGCATAGAGATATGGGAATGCAGAGATGTTGACATAATGATCTGTTTTGTGGCATTGTGGGTTGGTGTAATGGTTACTTACATTTGTCCAGAACCTCATCAGAACCATCTGGACAGTCTGGTTCCCCATCACAAAGCCAGCTCTCGGACACACAGGTCAGCTGGTCACCGCACAGAAACTCTCCAACGTCACACAAAATGGGCTCTAATGAAAGAGGGGGGTGGAGACAGAGATGGAGTATGGAATGAGGTGCAGTACAGTTATTAAATGTCTAAATTACATGATTGTCTAATAAATATAATGATAAGTAAGTATACGTGAAATGCGTGAACTCACAATGATTCATTATAGTGACATGAATGTGATGACAATTGATTTTACTGAACAGTCAGACAGGAATAATCAGTATTAAGGGCAATTTCAGTTTCAGAAACATCAGAACATAATTTTTCCATTCTCTTTTGTCAGTACAACAGCCCTGCAGTGACGTCCAATGATATTTACAAGAAAAACACGACCATAAGATTATCAGAATATCAAGCAGCTGTCCTTCAGGTATTACTCAGAACTGGGCCACACATTTCCCTTCTAAATTCCTGAAGCTACACGATTTATGAACATATCAAAATGATTATGAACCAAAATGCTCCAATTCCGAAATGTTGAGGCAGGAATGCAAGTGATATTTCTATGCACCACTGCTCTCTGTCCTTGCTATGCCCCACCACCACATTACTACACACACACACACACACACACAATCCACGCCAAGCAAATTCACTATCAAGGGACAGAATTATAAATGTCAAACGGTTTCATCTTGCTCCCGGTCTCTCCCTCTCTGTCTTTCTCAATCTCTCTATCTCTTTCAAGCTGCAGGCCTCAAAATTAGGCCTCAACAAACTGTATATGAACAGCGTTTCTCACTACACCTCTATGTTTAATACTTTGATAGTGATCCATTTTGGAACTTGTATACAGAACAATTCCCAATTCCACATACTACGACTGAAGCTCACTGCTACATGCCAAGGAATACTACCTTGTTCTGGTTCTGGTCATATGAAATCTATAATCTATATTGCAATGCTTTGTTTTTAAAGAAGCTGACAAATTTTTGGATGAAGTAAATCTGAAAAATGTATCATTTACTCACCTTCAGTTTCATTCCAAACCTGTATGACTTTCTTTCTTTGGTGGAACACAAAAGACGTTCTTCAAAATATCTTTGTCTTCCACAGAAGAAAAAAATGTCATACAGGTTTGAAATGACATAAGTGAGCCCTTTAATATCTGACTTACAAACAGGAACTGAACAAAGAGCTTGCACTATTGAACATGTCATGTGTGGTTTTAAACTGGTGTTTTCTTAGGTTAGAAATACACAGATACACATCTTCAAATGCAGCGACACTGATTTCACGAGTTCATCCTACATAATTTGAAAATCCAAAAATGTTATTGCTCATCTTACAATAAGAGGCACCGCTGCATTTCTCTCCAGCATGACTGAAGATTAGTTCTATGGGAAAGAATGGATCTAGCAAATTGTTCGAGGGCTGGGTTCTTCTACAATTGATTCACTTTCTTTAGAGCCACAGTGGCTCTGAAACTCGGCTGGTAATCTGGCCTGATTCAATTCAATGGCAGCTGCACATCAGTCAAAAAGCAATTACAGGGAATATGATGATGACTGCCCTCTGTCCTTCATTCTTACTAACAAAAACAACAGCAATTCTGTTGCCCCGAATGAATAGTGACGGTGATTTGATTGTTGTAGTGGCTTTAAAAAAACGTGTCTATATTTTCGGATGAGTGGTTATTGAAACTGATTTCAAGCCAAACTTTTTTACCTAGCGAGACTGGCTTCATATTTTGCAGGAAAATGCTGAGTGACAGTTAAAACAAAAAAAAATCTAATTCAACTGGAGGAAAAATAGCCAAGGAGAGGAAAGGTTTGGTCAGGCCTCCCGATAGAAGATCTCCTGAGTCCAGTCTGAAGGCATCTTTATCTTTGCAGCTGAATTGGTTACCATTTAAAAAAACATTCCTTTTACCTGAGGACAGTTTCTTTCGCAAAGCGGCAAAACCCATAAAAGAGACAACTTCAGAGCCTTGGAGCGGCATCTGTCCACTGATGTGTATCTGCTTTCATGTCGGGATGCCCTTTAAAGCATAGCCCAATTTGAATTATTGGAATGACCAGTGATGCCACTTTACCTTCCCTCTTACCTCAAGAGGCCTTCACTTCTTGACTCTAGTGTTTGATGCTTCCACAGCTCTGTGTTTCAATAGATTCTCCACAGAAAGTTCAAAATGCACAAAAAAACTGCACAAAACACTTCAAGCCTGTCAAGGAATAAAATCTTGCATCATTTGTTTTCTGACGCAAAAACGGAATTAACATCTGAAAGAATGGAATGCTACACTGAACTGCTAAATGCTGCGGCCATTCATAGATAATTCCAAACAGGCACGGGGAAGGAAGATAAAAATAACAATGGACCAAAATGGCCCCAACTCTTTGATGAGGTAGCGGTAACCCATTACCATAACAGTAGGAAATGTTCAGTGGAGCTTGGACTGGCATGCTATTATGAGCTTCATTTCTGACACAAGCTGCCACCTCGACGAGGAGAGAACTGTGGCTCATTAAAGCTCTTCAGCCTTTGTTATTCCGCCAGTTTCGATACGTAAAACTGTGACAGGGAGCCGGTGAATAGAAGCGATGGTCTTCAGAACTCTAGATGGAGGCTCTGCCAATCTCGTTTGATGAATCTGTCAAGGAGAATAGTTGTTTGACGCTAGGCGCCTATGCCACAGAGTAAGCTCAATTCATCTACATGATGTTGTTCAATGCAAATATTCAAGCACAAACCATTCAAGTATCTTCACAAACCATGCAGCTAAAAACTTTTTTTTTTTGGCCATAATACATTTGAAATATATGCTAAATGTGTTACAAAAAACAATTTTGCAATTTGAAAAAATAAAATAAAATTAATCTGAAAATATATTTTTGGGTAAATCTAAAATGTATTTTTAATACTTAAATTAATTTGTTATATATTAATTTTTTTATCTGTGATGTGCCAAGCCAAACTGAACAGAACCGAAAACCGTGGTTAAAAAAAACAAGATATGTATTGGACCATAGGCTAACTATGTTGTTGCATTTTATATTGCATCCCCAATATACCAAAGAGAACAAAACAACTGTTTGAATATACTCATCTACAATTGTGAGCCCCATTAATGAGACTGAATCAATGATGCTCCAGTATAACCCTCAAAAATGAATCACCTTGCATTTAATTTAAGCTTTAACCGGATGCTCAACAGCTGTTCAAGCCGCTTCAGTCTCATTATCTTTCCAACTGTTCGCTGTCACGCAATGCATCCTCACCTTGACAACCCATACCGTGGCATAATAGAAAAGACAACCTAACAATTTCCAAACTCAAGAAAGTCTGCTGAGCCACTGAGATCATTACTGTCAATTGAAACCGAGCTAAGAGAAAAGAACTACGTCAACAGCATAGAATGATCCACCTAATTTGCACCAAAAAAAGTTATTAGGCCATGTAAGTAAAGTGACATTTTCATGTTGAGGTTAATGTACGCAGTAATGTGACATTCTCCTAGTTGGATTTCATAGGAAATCTTGTTATAAGTCACTCTAAGGCTGTGAAAATCCTTCAAGATTAGATATGATCCATATAATGCTTCTCTGACACTTGTGAAAGGACAAAAACTCACGCATGCTAAACCTTGCGTCTAACACAAACACATGCAACCGTCGTGCACTCCTGTTTTTGAGCTTTCCAACCCAAGACAGCCAGTGAACTGTTTAATTCTCACCTTGACATATACTACATGGTATTTTGATCTAAATGTCAGCTGCCTCAGTTTTGATCAGAAAACCGTGATTAACATTAATATCACCTGACACCTATTACATAAATGTCTTGAGAATGTCATTCGGCAGCAAGATTCACCCATGTAACACCAGTGAATGTCAGTGCGAGAGCCAAACTATTGTTCTGCTTCACTTTTCATTCATATTGATCTGCGTATCCACTGAAAAAGCACATCAAATGGGGTTCGCGGAGACCACGCTTGAGGCTCTGGTTTGTGCCAATGTGCGGCCGGCCAGCTGAGTTCGAGGAGGGAGGGGATAATGATGCTCGAAGGTGCCGCCGCACATTTACAAATTCCACAAGGCACTCCATCCAGGAAACACATCCTCTGCCAAAAGACCTTTACCATGGCAACTCTGAGCCAGTCGGACTGTGTGTAGCCAGGCTAGCGGAGAAATCAATGGGAAAGGACAACAGGGCCTTCATTAAGCTCTGCCTGACCTTCACTTTTCCAGTGAGGTCATTTTTATTTTCAAAACAACAGCGGGGGCATGTCAACAAATTATCAAAGGGAACGCAGTCAGATTTTTAACAGCCATCGCCAGAGAAGCCGACTGCTTGATATAATCTACCTTGTAAACAATGAATTATTCATGAGCATGAGTTTAAATGTACAGTCCTCAAAAGATATTCTTTCTTTCATGATGTTGCTCGATGCAAGACAAATAAAGGCATAATCTAAATCTCTGTACACATCAGATAGATTTAAACTCACAATGCATCACAGGCGACTACGTGCTTGTATGCCGTTTTAGGGTTATGTATACAGTGCAATTGTAAAAGCAGATGCGTCAAAAGCTATACTGCGAGGGTTCTCAACCTTTTAAATATGTCTGAAACATTGTGTGACTTAACACGGCATCTGTCTAAAAGAATTAAGCTGCACACTTCTAAATGGTGGCATTCTTGAGAAAAAACAACACATTTTGCTATTTAGTTTTTTCAGCATTACTGACTGAACAAGAAAGCTGAAAATAAGTGTGAAAATAGATGCAGAAAGTGCCAGCTGTTTAAAGACGCTCAGTCAGTGACACTTGCATATTTGCATATTCATCTTTTGAGGCTGTGGGTTTGACACATGGAGTTCATCTTTGCATCCAGGTCACCTTTGCATCCATTGTAACCTACATTTAACATAATATTTTAAGCACCATATGTAGACTACCATTAAACATATCTGCACTAGCCAAAATAAATCAAGTATGCATTAAATTAATTAAAAGTAACAGTAAAGACACTGTTATAAAAAAACAAATACACTTCCTAATTAAATACTTCCTATTC